CTGTAGCAAGTAACTACTTATAGTGTTTATGTGACCACTCAGTTCCATACCGATAACTGTTAATCAGGCACTTACTTTCCAAAAGACACATATCTGATTATTTACCTACATCATTTACTCTTCATTACAACTCTCTTTTGCTTATACAGAAACTAAAAAACAACAAAAAAAGAGTGGTTTTGTAAATTGCTCAAGACCAGAGTTAGTAAATACCAAAGCTAGAATTCAAGGCAAATATTCTATTTCCAGAGGCTGTATTCTTAAACATATCCCAAGGTAGTGCCTAAGACTTCAATAACCCAAATGTATTGAATCAGTCATTACTTTCTTTTGGGTAATCAAGACTTGCCCTTTGGGCAAGGTTCATCAAGAATATGGCAATCACTCTTTCAAAGATACCCTAGGCATGAAAAAATCAGAAAGTTGAAAAGGAGGAAATAAGTAGTTCAAAAATTTGGGAACTCAAGTGGGAGCTGAAGATTAGGGGACTAGAGCAGGGAAGTTAGCATGGAAGGGTAACAGAAGTACTTCTGATAAAGAAAATCTGCACTTTTTTAGTGGTTCAAATGGAAGAACAAAACCAAAACCGATTCATAATGAGAAACATTTAAATCTCAAGCAGCTGAAGAGAAAGCCTATAAGCATAGGATTTCACAGCTGGAGACAGCTTAATATTACCTCTAAGTTACCCAGCAAATTTCCTATAGATCTTGAACTTTTGTTATTTCTCAAGTCCAGTATAGTAAAGTGGGTTTGAATGTACCCACACTGTGAGATATGTCATGGGAAATTTTTTTATGAAGAAGGGCAAACATTCCAAGTCCACAATTTTAAATCCATAATTTTAGATGATAATAATGATGATGAACTCAATAATAAACACAATAGATGGCACTGTTTTAAGGGTTACCAACTCAAATACGGTGCTAAATGACTTGAAGCAATTAGCTTATATATTCTTTATTACAACCTATAAGGCAGCCCCAAGCTCCTATGTATTATACCAAATAAACCACAGATATGAAATAGTAAAAGTGTACATTTTTTTCTCATGTAGCTATGACTATAAATATAAAAAAGACAATCAAGAATATTAGAATGTTGCCATCAAATGATCCTTAGATAACACAGTTTTAGGACACTAAATTTCATGCTTTTTAAGAAGGGTTTATGGGATAGGTGGCAGAGTAACTTTATGGGTGGTTATAGCAGCATTATCAACAATAGCCAAATTATGGAAGCCCAAATTCCACTGACAGATGAATGGATAAAGAAGATGTGGTATTAATATACAATGGAATATTACTCAGCCATCAAAACAATGAAATCTTGCCATTTGCAATGACATAGATGGAGCTAGAGTGTATTATACTAAGTGGAATAAGTCAGTCAGAGAAAGATAAAAACCATATGGGGGGCTTCACCAATATGTGTAATTTAAGAAACAAAACAGATGAACAAAGCGGGGGGATAAAAGAGAGAGAGGCAAACAAACCATGAGACTCTTAACAATAGAGAACAAATTAAGGGTTGATGGAAGGAGATGGATGTGTGATGGGGATGAAGGAGGGCACTACCCCTGAAACCACTTTTACCATATATGTTAACTAACTACAGTGTAAACAAAAACTTGAAATCAAAACAAAAAAATAGGCTATTTCAGTAATCAAACAGTCTATAAACTAAATCACTAATTATAAAAAAAGACAGCTGGCCGCTACGACATCACAAACCTCCTCTGGATGCCACAAGGTATGTAAATTTTTCAGAAGCATGGCTCAGTACCCCAGAGGAGAACTACTGGATATTAACCCAATAGGGATGTGTGTTTTATCCCTGAAATGGACAAAGACAGGGCAAAGAAGATAGAAATAGGACTGATCTATGAATCACAAAACTGGGACTCTTGCCATGGCTCTGCCTTTGAGCTAGGTTTATAACTGTGGATAAAGTCACTTCCTCTTATTGAGCTGGCTTTTACAAAATGAGGTGCTAAATGGGCAGATCTATAAGATTCCCATCAAGGATGCGGAGAAAGGGGAACCCTCCTACACTGTTGGTGGGAATGCAAGCTGGTGCAACCCCTCTGGAAAACAGTATGGAGGTTCCTCAAACAGTTGAAAATAGAGCTACCATACGATCCAGCAATTGCACTACTGGGTATTTACCCCAAAGATACAAATGTAGGGATCCGAAGGGGTACGTGCACCCCAATGTTTATAGCAGCAATGTCCACAATAGCCAAACTGTGGAAAGAGCCAAGATGTCCATCGACAGATGAATGGATAAAGAAGATGTGGTATATATACACAATGGAATATTATGCAGCCATCAAAAGGAATGAGATATTGCCATTTGCAACGACGTGGATGGAACTGGAGGGTGTTATGCTGAGTGAAATAAGTCAGTCAGAGAAAGACATGTATCATATGACCTCCCTGATATGAGGAATTCTTAATCTCAGGAAACAAACTGAGGGTTGCTGGAGTGGTGGGGGGTGGGAGGGATGGGGTGGCTGGGTGATAGACATCGGGGAGGGTATGTGCTATGGTGAGCACTGTGAATTGTACAAGACTGAGGAATCACGGATCTGTACTTCTGAAACAAATAATGCAATATATGTTAAGAAAAAAAAGAAGAAGAAGAAGAAGATAGCAGGAGGGGAAGAATGAAGGGGAGTAAGTCGGAGGGGGAGACGAACCATTAGAGACGATGGACTCTGAAAAACAAACTGAGGGTTCTAGAGGGGAGGGGGGTGGGGGGATGGGTTAGCCTGGTGATGGGTATTAAAGAGGGCACATTCTGCGTGGAGCACTGGGTGTTATGCACAAACAATGAATCATGGAACACTGCATCAAAAACTAATGATGTAATGTATGGTGGTTAACATAACAATAAAAAAATTATTAAAAAAAAAAGATTCCCATCAAAAGTTATAATTAACATAGGAAGAATAAGACTTTTGCCAGCCACAGGAGATCCATTTAAGGTTAGCCACCAGTTTTGAGCAAAGGAAAAATGACCAGGTAAGAAATGATTCTTCCAAATATTAAGAAGTGTTTGATAAACTCTGCCAGCTACCAAACTGCCTTAACACCTGGAATCCCAAACTTACTCAGAAAGTCTACCAAGCAATTGTGGTTTTTCAATGATCTTCAAAGATCTCTGATCTTCATGAGCAGAAAAATGAGTAATTGAACTAGTTTCCCTTTCCACATGAGACTAGGCTCAGATTACTTCCTGAAAAGGGTTTTGTGGAATCTGATTTTCTACCTTCAAGCTGAAACAATCATACTTTTGAATTCTGGAGACAGTACTATTTCTGTGTAAAGGTTTTAAAAATAAAAAATAAAAAATGTTATTCCTTACTTTGTCATCTTGGAAAGAATTTCTTTGACTATTTAGAAACACACAGTCTTAATTTATATAATCATGTATTCACTCAGTAAGTATTGAGCATTTACTATGCACCCAGCACTGGTCATATGGCTAGGACACACACACACACACACACACACACACACACACACGTATGTATCTTTATTCCAAAATCCACTAGAAATTCATGGAGTGCAGGTCTTAGAATAGGGTTAAGCAGATAGAAGGCATGTGATAAATGCCTGTCAAATACTCTCAAATGTGACCTAAAGAAAGGAGTAATATTTTTAACTGATATCTTGAAATTTTAAAGATATACCATAAAAATGCTTTGTCTGAAAACTCACTTATGGTTATTATATTCCACATTAATAAAAACACAGTTCAATTAATAAAAACAGTAAAAAAAAAACACCCTGTTACTTTAATATGTACAACCAGGTGTGGAGAAAGAGGATATAAAAAAGTTTTGATGAAAGGTTCCCGTTTAGAGCACCATTTGATGCATATGATGATTTCTCCAAAAAAATAAAATATAAGGCTAAACAATAAATCCAGGAAACGTCATAAAATTGGATAGGATTCAAAATGAGGAGTGCTCCTATCTCTCCGTGGAGAAATTAGGAAGGATGCAATAGCTACCACTTTTGAGCACTCTGGGTACTGTTCTAAGCATTTTGCCTGTGTTAATTCATGTAACCCTTATTACCCAACCCTGTGATGTAAGGCCTAATAATTTTACACATGAAGAATGTCTTAAAGGGGGGTGCCTGGGTGGCTTGGTCAGTTAAGCGTCTGCCTTCGGCTCAGGTCATAATCCTAGGGCACTGGGATCGAGCCCCACATCGGGCTCCCTGCTCAGCGGGAAGCCTGCTTCTCCCTCTCTCACTCCCCCTGCTTGTGTTCCTGCTCTCGCTGTGTCTCTCTCTGTCAAATAAATAAATAAAATCTTTAAAAAAAAAATGTCTTAAAGGATGTGTATAGGATTTTGACTGGGGAAGGAAATCCCAAGCAGAGTGATACACGATGCGAGTGTTTGTGGTCCGGAAGGAAACCAGGCAAGCACTGGATGACACAGCTGGTTAGCTGGATGGGGCCATGGTGTGAAGACTTTATCAACAGTCTGTAATTCCGGAGACTTGGGGGACCAAACATACTTCAAAGGAGTGACATGATTGGGATTGAATCAGAGTAAAATTAATCAAACAAGTGACCTGGACTAGATGGAAACGAGAAGCAGAGACACCAGTTGGGACTTTACTTGGTATGGTTTAGGCTAGAAGTAGTGAATGCAAAGGCAAACAAAGGTGATGAGAAGGAGCGGTGGATTCAACAGACAGGAAACTGTATGACTTTACGACTGATAACAAAAGGGGATGAGGGAAGGGAAGATTTAAAGGTACCTGGTGCTTTCAAATCTAGCTAAGTATGATTGCATCAATTGTTAAGAACCAGTAAGTTAAACCTTACTACATGAACCTTCAGCAAGTTGCTGTGTAAACTCACAAACGCAGAAACTACCCATCAGTCTGCAATATTAGAAAGAACACAGCAAAATTTGAACTTTAGATTCATTTCACACTAATTAATAATAGGAAACAATGTGTATGAAACAATCTTACCCCTTTGCTGTATTCACTATCTGAATCACTGCTAAGTTCCTCAGTATTCATATTTTCCAAATCAGATTCCCCAGGTGCAATGGGCACTGTCACAGTGAGGCTGGGATTATGAATAAATGATTGACAATCACTTTCTTCCATCAAGTATTTGTCCACGCTGCTTCCAAAACCACTGATTTTGTCTTTTTCTTTGTGGAAATTGCGATCTTTGTTCATTTCAGCAAGTGTGCGGTTAGAGATACAGTTTTCCTTCTTACTATTTTGATCTTCTTCTCTTCCTGTGTCTTTGGAAATCTTTGGCTTTTTGGAAAATGCTTTGAGAATAAATTCATGTAAGGTTTGTTTCAGATAATTTATTCCCTTCGTAATTCTGCCCACTGCAGTCTGGAGGTTGTTTGCCTCCTTGTCTTCTTCAATTGCTGTAAGATTGTCTGAGCTAAATGAGCTCAATAATAAAGCCAGAAATAGGTTGAGGACCTACATCAGGATGGGGATGGGGTATGGAGAAATAGGGAGACAGGAAATAAAAAAGAAAATAAGCACATTTTTCTGAAATACAGGCCAAAATCCAAACCAGCATCAAAGATCCCTGTACTTCACACAGAAGGAAGAACATGTGATGGGGTAGACATGAGGCTAGACTCTCATCACTGTCCTATCATATGTGTATCTTGGAAACTCGGGAACAGAGGTCAGCCATACCCACGAAGGACTTAGCACAAGGAGCAAAGAGAATGCTTCCTCCCCATTATCATTATGCCATTCTTAAGTTCATTTCTGCAGCAGGAGTCCCTTGGCCAAATTCCCTTTTATGGGCATAAAAAGTTCCCCTAATGTTTACCTATAATTAATATTTGTCACCTTTGAGAAAAAAGTAGAACAAGAAAATTGTGAGGAGTGTCTATTGTGCTGAAGTAACCTACACCAAGCTGTGTGTTTGCTTTTCCCAGAAGATACATGTCAGTTTACTGCAACAAATGGAACATATAATACTTGCAAAGCTCCTGTAATAAAATATTCTGTCCAAGAATTGTGCCAGCTTGCAACTTAATGAGGCTTTTAAAGCATAGAAAAGGACCTGCCCACTGAACCCAATTCAAATGAGATAATGGCATTATGACTGTTTGGCCTCATGCCAATCATTTGGCCCTGGAAGAGATAATCAAAGAGGGCAGGACAACTCCTAAAATCCTGTTTGTGTGCAAAACCATTTCTGTTTTTCCTCCCTGAGGTAAGGGTCCAGGTGGACTCAATATTGTAAAAAAAAAAAAAAAAAAGAAAAAAATTCTCACAGAGGGTTGCATTTAAATTTTATTTAAATTATATTTAAATATTGTTTTAGATAAGAAACAAAAAGGTAATTGAAATACCCTTTCATGTAAGTCTCTTCATGGACAAAAACATCTACCTCATTAAAATAATGAAAATTAGGCCAAACTGAGAAGGGACTCATGCCTCAATTTGGGTCCCACCTAAAACAATTTTTCAGAGATGTAAGTAGAAGAGCATAGTTTAAAAATGTCTATGTTAATATGTTTGATTTAAGAGAAGAGTCTGAGGGGGAGCAAAAAGAGAAAAATCACAGAAAACAATTGTGATAAATCTTATGAAGGAATTCTGAAATAGTTTACTTTCATTTTGGTCTTTATGGTCAATGAGAAAATGTATTTATGTTTGTTTGTGTGTATGTTTTAACAGGAATGTTGATGAGAAGCCAAGGGCTCATTCTACAGCTTTAGTCTCCCTAATCAACGCAAGTGTTAATAGTCTTCCTTTTTTCCTTTCAAATTTGTAATTAACTTTATTTTTCCACATTTACTGAGATATAATTGTTATATAACATTGTGTAAGTTTAAAGTGTACAACATGTTGATTTGACATATTTATACAAAATGATTACCACCACAGTGTTAAGGAACACCTCCATCATGTCAAAGAATTACCATTTTTGTGTGTGTGTGGTGAGAACATTTAAGATCTATTCTCTTAGCAACTTTCAAGTATATAATACAGTATTATTAACTATAATTACCATGCTGTAAATTAGATCCCTAGAACTTATTTATCTGCTAGTTGCAAGTTTGTACCCTGAAAACATCATCTCCCCAACTCCCCCGCCCAGCCCCTGGTAATCACCATTCTAGTCTCTGTTTCTATGAGTTTGGCTTTTATAAGATTCCACATATTTCAATAATGTCCTGTTCTGTCACATCTTCATTAAGGATAATAGTAACTTTCATTCCATCAAAAATCATAATAGTATTCTACTATTTTATCAAAATCTACTGGTACCACAATTGAAAATGAAGTCCATTCTGTATCACACATCCATTATCAGATTAAGCAGAGAAAAAAATATTAATAAAATGTATGTCTGATTCAACATCATTCTGATTAATGTTCTTTCTTATTGTTTTTAACCATTTTAACTAATTGGTAGTAAAATTAACTAAGGAATAAGAGAAAAAAAAGAAAGATCTGTTTAGCTATAACTCTAATATGCAGAGGACTGTATCAGAAACATAATTTTTTGTTTTTCTTTTCAGATTCTAATTCTACATCATTGGTAATTCCTTAACCAAGAGTTGTTTACCTATTTTGTGAATTACACTTCTCTTGTCTTTCATTATCACTAGTAAATAATGAATATATATCATCATGAGTCAGTCATTACCAGTTCTATATGGATTAAACATTCACTGAGATATCCCATCTATTTTTAACTATAAATTCATATTACTTTTCAAAGTAAACCATTACTGTTACACCTGTGTTCATGCTTAAATATTATTTTGCATATTATTCAAAGGCCCACTTTAAAATTCTTCTTTTAGTCACTATTTAGAACTCTGTTTTCTTCCAATGTGTCAAGAGCATCTATTTTTGCCTTACTGCTAGCACCTACCACTTCTTCCTTATCTGATAATTTTGTGTACCATTTTCCCATGTCCATAGATAGTAATTACCTTGAAGACAGGGACTAACTCATAGGTATATATTTTTAATCACCCTGCAATACCCAAATACATTTCCTTTCACAGAGAAAGTAATAAAAATATTGAATGAATAACTCGAGAGTGCCCAAGGAAGCCCCCTCACTTCATCCATGCTTGAGTGAATACTAAATATCTTAAATTAGTTGTGACTAATGGCTTTGGTATGGAATGTTTTGACATCCTATATCTTATAAAGAGCTACATTTCAATATTTTTATGTCAAAATTTTATAAGAAGAAGTATACAAACAAATCACATTATAAGAGCTTCTGAATACAAATGTTAAATTCAGAAGAAGAACCAGATAAAGCACATGCATTTTACTTCATATTGGAAGGGATTTATAAGCCTTTATAAAACTAGTAAATTTATTACTATAACTAGAGGATGATCAGTAATTGCAGAATTCTAACTCATGGTGTCTACATTTTGTGCTGTAATGATCTAGAATTTAGATTGCATAATTTACTCTGTATATGTCTAGCCATTTAATGGCACAAAACAGTACCATTTAGTATATGACTTGATGAATGTAGGTTTCTGTCTTAGGCTCTGAATTACTTTTGACATGGGGGCTGCAAGGGCAAAAATAATTAGCAACTTATTTTCAAGCCAGTTGAAAGTGAAAGTATTAACCATATAGTTGTTACTATACCCCACCTCCTGGGACTCCTAATGAGGAGTCTGATGCCAAGGTGACAAACTAAACCAAGTCAACATGGTGGCTTTGAAAACTGAAGTGAGTGAGTCATGAAAGAGCATCTTATCTCAATATTCTCCTGTTCATTAGCTTGAAAGTTTTTACGAATGGGTAGGTAAAAACAAACAAACAAACAAACAGAGAAGGAGTACAAGCCAAGCAAACACTAATGGAGAAATAGAAGATCAATTGTGAAAGAGATGCTATGGAGCAGTGGTGGGCAAATCTTTTTCTGTAAAGGGAGAGATAAAAAATATTTTGGCCTTTGTGGGACATAGAATCTCTATGGCAACTACTCAACTCTGCCATTGCAGAGTAAAACAGACATAGACAATGTGTCAATGAATTATTAGCATGTCTGTGTTCTAATAAAATTTTGCTTACAGAGCCTGAAATTTAAATTTCATATAATTTCCATGTGTCATGAAATATTATTTTTCTTTTTATTTTTTTAACCATTGGAAAAAAAACAAAAACAAACATTCCAAGCTTGCAAGGCCATACAAAAACAGGCAGTATGCTGGATTTGGCACATGACTCATAGTTTCCTGATCCTTGCTATGGTTGCTAGTTTTATTATATATGACTATAGCGCAATGGGACCAGTCCTTTCAATTGCTTTGTTCCATTATAACTTCATTTTTGTTATTGTTAATTTAAACATATTCTATTCTCTAGTATAACTTGGTATTTGAATGGACTTTTAAGAGATAGGAAAACCACAGATTTAATTCATATGACATCATTTTCAAAATGAGAGAATAAAGTAGAAAACTTTCCATTAAAATAAATATTATGAAGGGGCACCTGGGTGGCTCAGTTGGTTAAGTGTCTGACTCTTGGTTTGGGCTCAGGTCATGATCTCATGGGTTGTGAGATGGAGCCCTGCATTGGACTCTGTGCTCAGCAGGCAGTCTGCTTGAAGATTCTCTCCCTCTGCCCCTCCCTCCATGCACACACACACACTCTCTCTCAAATAAATAAATAAATCTTTGAAAAAAATAAAAGAAGTAAAATAATATAATCCTTGTGAAAAATATGGGTTATCTGTCAGGGAAATTGAGACAATATTTCATTTTCTTTTCTGTACTTTCCCATGTTAAAATGACCAGTATTCTATTACAATTAATAGTTTTATGTGTAATTAATCCTAAAATTATAAAATAACTGATCTTATCATCATATAACAATTTTCTATGAAAAATTTTATATGTGTGAACCTCTGATTACGTACCACTAGGTTTCCAATGACCATGACCATCATGTACACAATAAGGCACATGGCTTGACCAGCGACCTCCATACAGTCCCACATGGTCTCTATCCACTCTCCACACAGCACGCGGAACACAATCAGGAAGGAGTGGAAGAAGTCATTCATGTGCCAGCGTGGGAGTGTACAGTCTTCATTGATCTTGCAGACACATTCTTTGTAGTTCTTGCCAAACAGCTGCATGCCGACCACAGCAAAAATGAAGACGATGATGGCCAACACCAAGGTGAGGTTACCCAGAGCACCCACTGAGTTGCCAATGATCTTTATCAGCATATTCAGTGTTGGCCAAGACTTTGCCAGTTTGAAAACTCGAAGCTGAAAGGAAACACAAAGGTTAATATTAATTATTATGAAAAGTGTTCAATGTTTCCAATCCTGAGTTCTGTCCCAAATTTTAAATTCTAAAATATTATCATTATTACCTAGCTAAAATTAATTATTTCTATTTTTTTCCTGTCAGCTACTTTCAATATTCCTGTTATTTTGTTATACTTGCCACAATACAATCACCATACATATTTTTGAAGGAAGTTCAGGATTACTATAAAAGCCTCTTATTATGGTTTCAGATATGATTCCCTTTAGAATTGATAATTTATCCTTAATTCTCTTTTCTGATACTTTAAATTTTTTTATTTTGAATATAGTCTGATACTTTTATCTACTTTTTCATGCTGACATAGGATAAAGCCCAACATGTTAGAGAAAAATGCTTTGTCTTTACATTTCTATATTTTTGATATCAGACAACAATCATTTTGGGGACAATAATTTGATCTTTAGTTATCAAACCCACAAAGTAATGAACATATTGTAGGAATTGAAATTCTGTAAACCATAAGCTTCTTACTGTGAAATAAATTACTGCCTACTGGCAAAGAAATATTTTCTTTACCCACTTCTATTATACTAGTTTATACAACTGAATATGTCTTCCAGATCCTAAAATTAATTCAATTACGACTGACCATGTTTTCAAGATGCTAAAATAAGAACATCCCTGTCATTTTTGAACTCTTTAAGAACTTTTATGACGGAATGAAATTGATTATACTAGATACAAGACGTAATCTTGTCTTTTGATTCAATCCTCCAAAAGACTTAAATAATAATGCAGAGCCCTAGAAACACCCTTTTATACACGGAATATAATGGTAAGGTTGGTCTATATTTACCAGTCTGAATGATCGCAGAACTGACAGTCCTTCCACATCTGCTAGAAAAAGCTCCACTAAACTTAAAGTCACAATAAGGCTGTCAAAAATGTTCCATCCTATTTGGAAATACTCATATGGATCCATGGCAATTAGTTTTAAAACCATTTCAGCTGCAAAGATCCCAGTGAAGACCTAAAGGAGAAATATAATGTTTTTTTCTGGTATTACTAGAAGTATAGAATCAAAGTAATGATGATTATGACTATTTGTTTAGCATCACCGTGCTTCAGGCAATGCACCAGATCCTCTACAAATGTATGTTATTATCTCATTTAATCCCATAAATCTGGTGACTATTTCTATAGCTGTAATACAAGCATTACAGGGATAAAAAGCTCTAAGTTTCCTGTCTACTCTCTTCATCTTTAGACAGCATTTTAGAAGAGCATATTAAAATTCCACATAAATAGGGGCACCTGGGTGGCGCAGTTGTTAAGTGTATGACTTGGGTTTGGCTTGGGTGGTGATCTCAATGTTGTGAGATCAAGCTCCGAGTTGGGATCCGTGCTCTGTGTGGAGTCTGCTTGAGATTCTCCCTCTCCCTCTGCCCCTCTCTTTCTCTCTCTCTAATAAATAAATCTTTAAAAAAATTCCACATAAATAAAACCATGACAATTAACACAGTCACTTTTTTCAAAAAAAAATTATATGGGTCAATAAGTTATTCTGGAAGAAAATGAAAAGGAAATATAGATTGATACTGAAATTTTGAGCCAGTCTTTTCATCTGGTCTGACTACTCTTAGGGTAATAGAGAATATGTTGACTCACTCTTTAAAGATTTATCAGTAGAAGAGGAAAAAGTATTTAATTGATACATGGAAGCTAAAGTAAGACTTCTAAAGCTTTGACACAAAAGTGCATCACAAAACATCATTAACTCATGACATGGGTATTAAAGGACTGACTTAAAAATACAACAGTGAAGGACTTGTTTGTGAATCATTCAGGTTTGATTTGACTCAAAGAAGCTGACCAAAGACGGCTCAAAGGGAAATGGTGAAGTCTGTAAGTGCTGAGTCAATTTAAAAATAATGCAGCATCAAGAAGACAAGCAGAGAGTACCCACACTTAGGGTTGTGGCAAGAGATAAGAAACACAATAAATTCTTTTGGGCTTCACAGTGATGCAGTCAACTCAGCAAGAAGGTACTGATTTTCATGATCTGTACTTCCACCAACAATTAGAAACTAGATAGTCCTTTTTTTTTTCAATTTAAATTTTGTTAGTAGCAAACAGTGCAATATTGGTTTCTAGAGTAGAATTCAGATTCATCACTTACATACAACACCCAGTGCTCATCACAACAAGTGCCCTCTTTAATACCCATCACCTGTCTAGTCCTGTCTTTTTCAAAGAGAAATCGAAGGCAAGAAGAATGCTACCTCAAAAAGCACATGGGGTACACACATCTTAACTGAAAAAATGTGGGAGAGAAGAATGACTCAGAAACAAACTCTTTGGCTTCAAAGATCAATTGTTTTGGGATCTAGGCAAAAGTAAAATTATCTTACACAGACATTCACAAAGACATCCAGAGTTATTAAAAATTTATGGAGAGTCATAAACTAGGATTCTTTGGCCATGAAATAGAACTTCTGCCTGCTTCACGCAGATTCTCAGAAACTAACACTTGTCATTTGCCCTAAGGCATTAATTAAGCCAAAATGTGACCAGCACTGCACATTTAAGAGATCACTCTGGCACCCATTTTCCTAATAGGATCCTCTGTCTTCTTGAAGCCTACAGATCCCTTGAGTGTCCTTGTGTCTTCTGTGTCCATTCCTCCCATTTTTGGTTTCTTCGTATCCTTATTCTTAAGGCTTCTTTCTGCTAATTGATTTAAAGCATGATGATGATAATAATAACAGTAACAATAGGTTTAATTTGTTAATGACTTATGATATGCCTGACTAATAAGTAGAAAGTATTTAATCCTCTCAACAATATGATAAATGAAGTGCTATTATTATATTATAAATAATGAATTATTTTTCTTATTTTATAAATGAGGTATTATAATTATTTTATAAATGAGAAAATTAAAGATTATAGAGATTAACACATTTGCCAAAGGTCATATAACCAGTAAGAGGCAGAATCAGAATTCAAATCCAAGACTTTGGGACTTCAAAGGCCCAGACACTTCACTTTTATGTCAAAATAAACCATGCATAATTTTTCTGTAAATATGTAGAGAACTCATAAGGAAGCAGCAATGTAATTATAAAATGGGTAAGAAAGTATCAAATTTTCAGAGTGTTGCTTTAAAGAGACATGGCAGCAGGAAAAAAAAAACAAAAACAAAACCCACACGCTATCAACCTCCAAGATGGTGACCTTCTTTGGAAATAGTATTGTTATAGATCTCTATACTTCTGCAAAGTTATTTTAAAATAGTATCACCAGAAACTTGACTTTGTACAATGATTCATATTGTGAATTCTGGATATGGATAATTATGTAGCTACATATCCATCTGACTTAAAGAAAAGAAATGACAATCATGACAACCAAAGAGAAGATCTATGGGTACATAATACACATTGAGAAACTCACCAAATTTCCCACAGTGAGTACATTTTTGAATTCATCAGTCATTGGGTGATGCTCCATAGCCATAAACATTGTGTTTAAAACTATGCAAATGGTAATAGCAAGATCTACAAAAGGATCCATTACAATAAAATAGACAAGCTTTTTGAATTTTATCCAATATGGAGAACAATTCCAGATCAAGAATGTGTGTGCAAATCTGTACCACCAAGGTGGACATTTTTGTCTGGACTCTTCAAGTTCTGGGGAAAAAAACCAACAGAGAACATGAAGCCAATCATTTGTTTATTTTATTCCTAACCAGGTACGGTACAAATCAGCAGTACACTTTAACACCGAAAAAAGTTTTCTGTTTAGACTTTGCAAATTTAACAGTACTTCTTCTATGAAAGCATAGCATATTACATAAAAATCTTATATCACAATGTTCATTTTACTAGAGCAAGCATAAGTTAGGGGAAGGCAGTGAAATTAATGACTCAAAGCAGATATGGGCAACTCCCAGAGAAACATACACCTAACATGTGATGGGAAACAGGAGAATCTATGGAGAAATATATGTTTTCCACCAATATATATCCTTTCATAGGTGAAAACAATCTCAGAACCAAGAGACTAGAAATAATTTATGGAGTGACTCATTCAATAGATATGTCATACCATGAGCCCTTTTATTTCTCACCATTAAGTTTAGGAGGTGGGTGGAAGCTTTGTCTGAGGCCATCATGGCATGTGTGGGTATGAGGTGGTAACCCATGGACAAGGTGGGACCTGGGGCATATTGTAGGGGGAGGGGGTGGGAGCCAGCACATTTTAAAAGTTGCCACCCTTAACTCTCTTCTCAATGCATCTCAGGGTCTAACCACTATTGTTCCCATTATGCTCTCTAAATTGCTTTCTCTAATGCCTTTTCATCATATTCTGAACAGATGTTACATCACATATTACCATTTTATAATTTCATTGAATGTGCTCAGAGGCAGCAATTTATAGACATCTGGAAGTATGTATTATTTTTTTTGCATATTAGGATGATGATAAATTCAGAGAGATTAGTTTAAGTTTCTAAGACTATATAGTGAGAACCACCCAGCCCTGGGTTAACCTAGATTTCTTCATTAATTACCATTAAGCTATTTATCTTTAAAAAGTCCTAACATCCAATGTCTTTACTCACAAAAAAAAACTTTATCAATTTTTTTGAGCACATAAAGACCATTCCATTAGTGTCCATTGATTATCTTTACTATTGTTTATAACCATTTTTTATTCTTTGAATTCTTCCTAAGAATTTTATATACCTATTTAAGGCTGACCAGGATTTATCTAAATTCTGTTTAAAAATCTGTATGGGTAAGAGGGTATTATTACATACCTTCTACAGTGTTTGTTAATATGCTTACTCTACTCATTGCTCTTTGTCTCAGATTGGGATCATTCAACATATCTTCAGAAAGAAGGTAAGAACTGGAACGTCTTTTCTTATGTATTTGATTGGTTGTACCCTGAAAGAAAAAAGATGATTAATTAAAGTTCTAAGAATAGAATTCTAATAAATTATATGTGTAGAATAAAATCTTGCTTAGGTAGCTGTAGTGATTAAATAAAAGTAGAGACTAGGTTGCTGGGTTGGAATCATAGCTCTGCTACTTACTGGGTATGTATCATTGGAGGGTTACTTAACTCCTGTCTCAGTTCCATCACTGGTAAAATGGGGATAACCATAGTACTTGCCTCATATTCTTGCTTTGAGGATGAAAAGAATTAATGCTTAGGAAAATAAAAAATAAAACAAGTTGCTTTTATTGTTACAATCACTTTCATCATCTATCTTTCTGGGTCTTGAATTTATTCAGATAGTCTTACCATGTAAGAGTCCTACATGAGAACAGCTAGACATGTGTTGCGGTGATGTGTGTTAAAGGGGCAGAATCCCGGTATTCTCTGATAAATTTCTGCAATTATTCTTTGTTGAGGTAACAGCATTAAATGGCGGCGACTGTAATGTTTGCCTCATGAATTGCTCTGAGTATATGATGATAAATGACTCAGTTTGAAAAGGACAATGGAGACTGATGGGAACTGTAGCAAAATGGAGAATGTAAGCTCCATCTAAAGGAGGTGACCACTTTCCACTCTAAAGGATTGCTGCCATGCAGGACTATGAGCTCAGTCTTACCAGGTACACTTATTTTTATGTGAAAACGTCTTGTTGTTAAATCTTGGCAACTAATTCAAAGTTAAAACACTGTGCTGGTTCAGTGCAGGCCAATAATACATACACACACACACACACACACATACACATACACCACTCACACACATATACACACAAACAACTATACAACTCTATATGTATCACCTATCTGCTTAGGTGTGGTATGTGTGTATGTATAAATATACACACACACCACTTTACGAACATATAGATATAGTTCTAGAGTTTTAAAGTTGTATAGTTGTTTAGATACAGTTATATATGTGTGTATATTACAACATGGACACATGGGCATAAATATATGCTTGTGTGTCTGTCTGTATGTGTATGTGCACAGACATACATGCACACATATCTGAAGGTGGCTTTTTGTAGAGCTCTATTAGATCCAATCTCTAATTTACTGACTTTCCAGAAAAGGCAATTTTTCTCCAAGTCAAACAAGGATAACAGATTCTTTTTCATGTACACGTTTTAGTTGTCAAAGTTATATTATTTGTCATGCAGTTTTTTCATCTAAACTGGACATTTTGCCACACTATTATGTTTATTGCATTTCTGTTGAATCCTAGAGTATCTACTAACTCCTCTAGTTTTGCAGTTTGTTTCAGGATTTATGGTAATACTGATTTTCCTATGGTAAAAGTAAAGTCTTAAATAAAAACATTTCATTTAAAGATATGAAATAATATCCAAATTTGATATAAATTCTGTATTTCACAGGTAATAGATCACTGAAAAGAAAAACACAGCAAAGATCTGATTCCATAGAAATTTAACATGCTCACTTGATACGGAAAAATATCTTGGCAGAAGGGCTGAAGCAGTATCATGCAAGCACAGAGGTCACACGTTACCTAAAAGCACATGCATTCATTCCAACTGAAATGTTTGTGGCCATGACTTTGATGGAACTTTATTCTCACTAAAAATACTATGTTGTCTGAAAATATGAATATATGAATAAGTAACATGAGTTCAAAGGTTGTTAGGTTAGTCAAAACCCCTGCTGATATTTGGTCATGCAATATAACATGGTGAGTGGTCTAAAGAGGTAACCTAGAAACTCCAGAAACCAGAAAGATCTCTTTCAAGCCTAATCAGACTCTTTTTCTAAACACTCAATTACTCCTAAACTCTTGAAATTATTGCTTTGGACTGGTTGTTTTGTTTTTGCTTTTATGTGTATGTTTGTATTAATGTATGTAGTTTGGATATTATATTTTTATTCATAGACTCCAGACAAAAGAGGGTTTTTTTTTTTTTTGGAAATTTAATGAAATGAAATGAAATTTTCATTTATGTATGGGGGAAAAAGCGCAACTATTCTAAATTATTTCCAAGTTCAGAAGCCTAACACACACTGGAGAGAGCAAAGGTGTGGTGGGTTAAGAGCATAAGCTCTGAAACAGAGGGCCTCTCTTTGAACTTCAGGACTACTGTTTATTAGCTGAGTGAACTTGAACAAGCTGCTTTAGTTCTCTGAGCCTCAGTTTTCCTCTTTGTAAAACAGGGATAATAATATATCACCTTATAGGGCCATTGTAAATACTAAACACACGTTTGCTATTATTATTACTAATTTAAAAACTCAAGATTCCCTGCACAAGGAATAAACAGTATCTTGACAAAAATAGCAGGAGGTGGCAACTAATCCAAACTTCCTTACAGAAATGGGACCTATTATCAATGAAGAAGATCAGCATTAGCAATGCATTTCCTGTGTTGACATATATGTATATATCTTTTATACATTGTTTTCTAAAGGAATGGTTTATAATATTCAAGTATAATTTCAACAGATAAGTTCCTTTTTTAAAAAATGGAGTTTTAAATATCTTTGCATTAGACGTCTACAGCATATGGGATGAGAATTCCACGAATGAGTTAAAGGTGTATTTCTACAGTAGAGGTATTGCAAGACACAGAGCCATTCACAGGACCAAAGAAGGCCCCTCTAGCAGAGAGACTGACTGATGCAAGAATAAGGGTGGAGCCATGCCTGAGCTATTTTAAAACGTCCTTACGCTGTCATCAGAAGTTGCCTTATCTATTATCACCTCTGGCAGAAGCTGTCCATTGGGGAGCATGAGGGCTGAGGGTCCATCAACCAGGGAGACCACACCATTGCAGTCCACGGTACTGTGCATCTTCCCATTCACTGGCAGCACTGGGGGAGACCTACTGGCTTGGCTGATGTTACTGCTGCGCCGCTCCCGAGGTCTGTGGGGCACAAACAGCGAGCCCCTCCTGCTTTCGCTGTCTCCAAAAATGCTATGCTCATCATCGGCAAATTCAGTCTCCGATCCAACATCTTTCCCTCGACCTTTGAAACTAAAAAGGCTTGTTCTGCTGCTGCGCCTTCCAGAAAACAAGGAGCCTCGAATGCTGAGCGGTGACTGCGGAAAAGAGAAAAGATGACATTTATCTGCTGAAGCACCTAAGAGTAGAAGCGCACAGAACTGCCACGGACCCCATTGAGCTGAGGCCAGGTGGCCTTGTGCTGGTTTAAAAGAAGCGTATTTAAAAACAAAGGAATTTGGCAGCAAGATAAACTCTTCCAAATCAGGGATGAAAAGACTGGATGAATCCATCCTTTCAGGACCAGGTAAATTATTTATTGCCACACAGGTCTTTCCTACTCTGTCTGGCCTAGAGTAACATCTCCATTCTCTCCATTGTTTCTATCCCATTCATCTTGCTACAAGGAACATATCACTTTTAAAAAAACTTTTGGTATTAATACCTGTTATTTAGCTTTTCATGTATCAATCCCCAAGTTCCAGAAGTAATTGAAACTTTCTCGAGGCCAAAGGCCACGCTGTATGCTTCTTTGCCTTCCATTGCTTGCAATTCCACTTTACATATTGGAAGCTCAGTCATTGCCAGGATAAACTGTGTCCATAAACCAAACTGAATGTTTATTCTTTGGAAGTACCTAATTCAATACATGTTAGTGCTTCCTATGTAAAGGACAAAGTGGCAGGCACTCTGAATAATGGAAAGTGAGTATAACCAAGTCTCTGCCTTAAAACAAGCTTGGATTGCTCTTGTCCTATTTCCTTTTATAGATATCACATGTATTCAAGTTCAGTCTCCCCAGCTAAATGATAACATCTTTGAGGGCAGGGGCTCTACCTTTTATTTCTATGTCCATTTGGCAGCATCTTACACACTTAAGTAGTAGACATTTTCAATGTAGACATAAATGAGAAGGATAGTAATTTCTGAGCAGGGCACCAAAGAGCAGATTGGAGAAGAGAGAGGGCAGAGGCAAATGTGCGGGGCAAGCGGCATCTGAGCTAATGAAGGAAGAACGGGTGCAACTACACCAGGTGGAAAACAAAGAAGAAAATCATCCCACTTAAAGAACATCACACGTACTAAGTAATAAAGGTACGGGGCGTGTAGGTAGGCGTGAACGATCATGGTGGACTGAGGGTATGTGAAGGTAAAGAAGGGGGAAATGAGGCTGAAGCCAGTCCACAACGTGGATAAGATGTGGGTGTTCTGCAGTTGGTGATTAACACAGTCGGGATTTATTTTTGGGTTTTGTCTTGTTTCTTAAAGTTGAACCAAGGGACAGCTTTGGTTTAGAAAAATGATTTGGGAAGGTTGTGTGATAGAACACAAGGAAATGTTTAGGAGAATAGAAGCAATTGTTCTTCTTGGAGGTCTGTAGGCAGGGAAACCTGAGATATGGAGGTTTCCGTGGAAAGAGAGGGAAAAAAGCAAGAGAAATTTTACACAAGCAGAAATAACAGACTGTGTGACTAGATGTTAGTAGCCGAAGCAGTTGGGGGTGGGGACTGTCCAGGTGTCTCCAAACTTTTCCAGCTTGGGTGACTGATATTTAGGCGGTACCATGACTTACAGTGGTGAAGAAAAGTGGAGAAACTAATCTAAGATTAGTTTTTAACCAATGAGGCATTATGAAATACAGACTAGATAAAAATGTAAAAGTTAATATATAGTGTAAATAATTTTTTCATTTCTACAACAGTTCTCATGAATACTTTGTTTTTAAAATTTGTTTATCAGAGAAGATAATATGACAATGCTGAAACTATAAGCTCCTTCAAAAATGGTCAAACTTCAATGGAAAACTATGGACATCTACGTTCTTTCCATAAATGTCCAATGATCAATACGTTTTTACCCAAAAACATACTGATGAAGTCATTCACTCTCCTCTCCTGAGATCCCATTCTTCAAAATAAAACATTTTTCTCTATAATCCTACCCCTGGCCATATGCATTCGATAGGTGCAGGGGTACCTGATTAGGGGTAGACAGTCTCTTTTCACGTGCTCGTCTATGATCTTCAACACCAAGGTGGAAATTTTGTCTCCTGATACTCTCCTCTGACTCTGATTTGGACAACTTCTCATTGTCTCCCTTTTCTTCCCCACTGGAAAGCTTCTTTTGATTCCTTTTCTTTCTTCTGTTTCTTCTTTCTTTAGCACTTTTAGAGCTCAGTTTGGATGTTTCAGAGGAACTCTCAGAGAAACCCATCATTCTGCTTCTCCCAATACTTGTGTATTCAGCTGCTGCAATTGCAATTGCCTGTTGGACCAAGAGGCCACACATACAGTAAGCCATTTCCAAAGTCTGGGAAACCCTATGATGGGGCACCTCTCTGCCATGAATGTAATTACACCATGCAATAATCATGTCCCTTGTACATGAAGGGATGCCGTTTTCTTTGCACTATGACCAGAGAGCTTACAGAGCACTCTTGCTTTGTAATAAAGCCCCATTTTACTTTGGAATTAAGCTATTACACACTATTACTATATTTATAGTAAACAATTTAAAATAGTATATATGAAGGTTTTACTAGGTAATTTTGGAACATAAAACTCACATAAATCATACAATAAGAAAATGTGTACATCTCATTCAGGTAGTTAATTCAATATTATCAATAGAGTCAGATACTCAGTTTAATGAAGACTGAATTGTCTGAAAATGAAAATGAATTATTACAAAATACATCTCAAGAAAATAAGGGACTTTTAAGGGTTTCCTATTAAATTCCTGGGATGACCTAGTGTTAACCCTTTATTAAAAAATTATGTTTTTACTATTAAAACAATCCTTGTAAAAATTTGAAAAATAAGGACATAGTGAATTAAAATTAAGAATCACTCATAGTCTTACATCCTGGAAATAATTGGTGTTAATATTTCTTCCAATCTTTATATGTAATTTTTAAATGGTTTGCATATTATACTAAATTTTGTATCTTACTACTAATACATTATATTAACACATTTCACTATTATAATATTCTTAAAACACATAATTTTATGGCTGAATAATACTCTGAGACACAAAAATATCATAATTCTATTAACCATTTTTTAATTTTAAAAAATTAAATGCTTTCTGATTTCTAATATTTTCAGATACTGCACTGAACATCTTTCTGCATTAAAGTTCTCTGCATGACAGATTACTACCTTCCCCCTAATAAGTTAGATACTTTGAAGATATTTAACTAGTTGAACCATCAAATAAATTTTAAACTCTTGCAGAATATTTAAATTTGTGTTCTCTTAGAACAAACCTTCTCAAACTTCTCTACTGAAGTGCCCCTCTGGAGAGGAGAATAAGGAAGAATCCTCGAGTTTGTGTCTTCGCCTAAAGTGGCCACAACCATAAGTATAGGTTTTCTTAACAGCTCATGTTTTTTATTTTGAAAGTTCCTGCCACCTTAACAAAAATCGATGCACATTTTGCTTTCTACCCCATAGAGTATCTGTTAACTTAAACATTTAAATAATTTTCCCTAAATTCTGTACACAATTGTTACTCTGGTGAAACATACCATACCTGTTCTGGGACTTTGCATAATGTTATGCATACTGAGGCATCATGGATAACAGGTTTAGGAGGAATGGCTTAGAACATTCTCTGTGCTGGAATGAGCTGGTTATGGGGAAAGGTACAATTGGACACATGCCGATTCTTTTTTTTTCTTTAAATTTTTTTATTGTTATGTTAATCACCACACATTACATCATTAGTTTTTGATGTAGTGTTCCATGATTCATTGTTTGTGCATAACACCCAGTGCTCTACGCAGAACGTGCCCTCCTTAAAACCCATCACCAGGTTAACCCATCCCCCCACACCCCTCCCCTCTAGAACCCTCAGTTTGTTTTTCAGAGATGATGGACTCTGCCGATTCTAACTCAAACTAAAATTGGTTCCTTTGACCACACCAGAATGAAAATTCTGTTTATATTTAAAAATCCAGTAAGGAAAATCTCCCTGGGGAAGGCCACAGAGCCTCTTTGGACTTTGATTTCTAGGAAGAATTTTAAACCAAATAATAATACCTCAGCTTCTTCTTGCTCTTTTTTAAGACGATCTAACATCTGCTGAAATTCTAACTCCTTTTGCTTCGCTTCTTCAATGTTTGCCTGGTTCTGTTCTTCATAGGCCATGGCAACCACAGCAAGGATCAAGTTTATTAGATAAAAGGAGCCCAGAAAAATCACCACAACAAAGAAGATCATGTAGGTTTTCCCAGCAGCACGCAGTGTCTAGGGAAAAATGGAAATCATTATTTTAGGAACACAAAGATCTTTGGAAAATTATTTCAACTTGAATGGCATATTAGGCATGAAGAAGGTGGGGAGGTTTGGTATAATCCCATGTTATCAAAAATATAAAGGAATAAAGTTATACCTCTAAAGAAAACAAACACTTTTTCAGTACAAAGGATGTAGCCATCTATTTAAACTTATATTAAAATTAGGTACGGTTCTTCACTATTTTTAAGACTAATAATCCTGATTTTTTCTTTTACCCACAGTCTGAAAATTACTCAAAAACTAGCTGCTCTGCTCATTTTCAAATTAGAGGACCAGATAATATCTATAGTTCCTTTTGCTGATAAAATTCCATCTTTACCAGGAAGTATTAATGATGATGTGTTATGTTCATACAAAGTAGATAGCTTTACTTAATGATCTTATCTGCTCATCTACTCTTATATTTACTTTTCATTAACATGTATTAAAAATTTCTGAATGCAGTATATGGTAAAAAAATTCAAATGGTATAAAAAGCTATTACATGAAAAACCTCTCTCTCCTATCTCTGATGCCTCCTCATTTCCCTTTTCTATCAGTTATTGTTGTTACAATTTCTTCTCTTTGATAAACTTTTAGTAATGGTTAGTGGGTGTACTCATTTTCATTTTCATAGGAGTTCTGTGTTGCATTCTGCAGTGGTTCCCAGCAACGTGTGAGAAAGTCTGCCTCCCCACATCTCAGCCAGACAGCATCTCTCTTTTGATCTCCATCATTCTAACCACTAAGAAATTAGAGGTCACTCTAGTTTTAATTTGCATGTCTTTAATTTTGAGTAAAACTGAGTATCTTTTTTATACACTTAAAGTTCTCTGTATTCCTTTTTTCCTCTGAAGTATATACTTATAGAATTTCTATATTCATTTATAATATTATCAGAAATGAAATAAACATAAAACAGGCTACAAGAAGAATCTGGCAATTAGGAGAAAAGTGATTCATTTTTATATATAACACAGAATAACCATTTTCATCTCCTTCCTCTTGGGGTTGGGTGCTGAGAATATGTAAGTGAAAAGATGCAGCCCACAGGCCCAAAAGGATCACATCTACGCCGGAGAGATGGCCATGTGAATTAACAATTACAGCACAAATGATGGATAAACTGAGGAATATTCAAAGGGCATGGAGTTCTAGGGGAAGGAGCAAATGAGTTGGGACAGGAACATTTAGAGAAGTGAACTGAGTCTTCAATTCTTGTATTAGTTTTCTAGGGCTGCCATAACAAAATACTATAGACCGGGCAGCTTACACAACAGAAATGTTACTTGCTCGCAGGTCTAGAGGATGGAATATCAACGTGTTGGTGTGCTGGATTTCTCCTGAGGTTTCTCTCCTTGGCTGGCAGATGGCGCCCTTCCCAGAGTCCTCACGCAGCCTTTTCTCTGTGCGTGGGCACATTTCTGGTGTCTCTCAGGTCCTAATCTCCTCTTCTTATAAGGACACTAGTCAGATTGGATTAGGACCCACCCAAATGCCTCATTTCAATTTAGTTACCTCTTTAAATCCCTCACTCCAAAAATAGTCATTCTAAGGCACAGGGAGTTAGGACTTTACCATATGGATGGGAGGGGATACAATTTAATTCATAACAACTGTACATGGGAATTCAAAAACTAAAGCACGATGAACCTAGGAGAGCCTGGTGTTTCGGGCACTGCAAGCAGGGCAGCATGGGCAGATACCAGCATGGCCAGGAGAGCTACAAGGGCCATGATGGTGTATTTCCTGCTATTTACTTAGGACCCCATGGGATGCTCTATTCAGAAAGGGGGAAAGGGAACTGGAGATCAGAGAAGCCAAGAAAGGATAAGACAATAATTTATGATTTTAAGAATTATCCACTCGACTAGTGCTGGAAGTAAAACATGTCTCATTTTAGTGATAAGATAATAGGGTTTTGTCCTTTCTAAATTGAATAAAACATCTCACATAAAGTCCAGCAAGGAACATTCACCAGTTTTTATGCCATTCAAAAATTCAATGAATGTTTCTCTTGGCACTCACCTGTTGGTAAAGGTTTTCCCAGTAATCCTGGGTCATTAGCCGAAACAAGGCCAAGAAGGCCCAACTGAAAGTGTCAAAGCTCGTGTAGCCATAATCAGGGTTTCTGCCTGCTTTCACACACCTGTACCCTTCTGGACACTGACTACATATGAAAAAGAACGTCGCAAGTTAGAATGCTTCTAGGATGCAGGTTAAAGAGTGCTACAGAATAGTTAGACATCCCAGGTTCCTTTTCTAGGGGGACAATATTGAATAATGATTAAGAACACATTACTTGGAAGCAGGAAGAACTGGGTTTGAAGCCCATCCCTATGATTTACTAGTTGGTGACTTTGCCAAATTACTGAACTTCTCCAAGGCACAGTTCACTCCTTCTGTGAGAAAAGGATAACGCCTACCTCAAAAAGTGAAGACTGTTGTTAAGTTTAAAAAAAATAATACATGCAAATTACCTAGCCTAGCTCCTGTAGATATAAAGCATTTAATAAATGGCACCTGCTATTAGCAACATCATTAAAACTTGGAAACTTCCACCAGACGCCAAATAATAGTTCTTGTACCATAAATATTGATAAATAGGCCTCCACCAAAACTGGGTTCCCCCAAATTATTCTTGGAGTGAATCAGAATAAAAAATAGCCTAAATAGAGCAATTGTGTAAGCTCATAAAGATTTGTAGCTTTCTGATATTTTTCTAAAATTGGTGGATTGATATCCATGATGCTATTGAACAGTAGTCTGAGCTGTCTCTGGGAGCAGCAACATTATTTGTTTAATGTTCCCAGTATACACAGAGTCTGGTGAAGAAATATCTGGTCAGGAGTGCCTGGGTGACTCAGTCGTTAAGCGTCTGCCTTCGGCTCAGGTCATGGTCCCAGGGTCCTGGGATCGAGCCCCGCATCGGGCTCCCTGCTCCGTGGGAAGCCTGCTTCTCCCTCTCCCACTGCCCCTGCTTGTGTTCCCTCTCTTGCTGTGTCTCTCTATGTCAAATAAATAAAATCTTAAAAAAAAAAAGAAAAAGAAATATCTGGTCAGGGGCTCTGCAGCAGAAATGAAGTTGGTGTACAGGAGAAGGTATTTCGCAAAGAGATGAGATTCTTAAAATATATTTACCCAAGTCCATGGGCTCCTTTTGTTTAGAGTGGCCAAAATGTCACTGCATTCAGTCATTTATGAGTCATTCTTGATTGGAAAAAGAGTAGAATTTGGGAACAGGACGTTGATTCTGTCACTCTTCCTTCCAGAAAGAAGAAAGACTTGAAACTATCCAGCCAACTTTTGGTAGGGTTTTTCGGGAATAACTTTCTACTTTCTTAAGATTTATATGACTTGTGTCTTGTTTCACTTCAAGCACTACCTCCAAGTTTTGCTTTCAGAAGTATGCATTAACCATAAATGTTTTAAAGTTTGGGCTCACTGTGGGACATAACAATACCATGAAATATATGAAAGCAAAATAAAATCAAAGGTTCTGATTTAAAAAAAAAGCTGATTGGATATGCTTTTCCCCTTTTTGTAGCCTTTTGACTAAAAACAAATACTACTTACCCTGAATCTGTGCTCAAACCACAAAGGAGAGCATCTTTAGATCCCTCCAAGTAATAAAAATATTCTGTTTAGGAAGAAATTCAACAATATAACATTAGACAGTGACACAGAAGGTAGGTTAATTAGTATAGACATATTCACACACCTTCAGGCCCAGTCTCAGGCAATGTGCATTCATTTATTTATTATATTCTCATATATTCTCCCTCAAATACTTATTGATAACCTCTTATGGGCCAGGCACTGAATATAATAATAAAAGCATGATAAACAAGATCATTAATTTTGTGGATCTTTCTTTACATGTAGGTAAGGGTGGAAATTGGGGACAGAGAAGGACAAGTAAATAAGTAACTAAGTAAATAAATAAATATACAAGGTATTTTCAGATAGTGATAAATGTCCTAAAGAAAATAAGACAATGTGACAACATGTGGTCAGGGAAGGCCTTTCTAAAGATATGACATTTGAACTGGGGCCTAAATGCTACAAAGAAGCCAGCCATCCAAAGACCCTGGAGAAGAGTTATTTTTGGCAGGGTGAAGAGCAGGAAGGAGCACGGGCCTTGAGGCAAAAATGAAGTTAGTGTATGGAAGAAACAGAAAGATAGGCAGCCTGGCTACAGTGTAGTTTGTGGAGAGAACTATGGTGGCAGAGGTAAGCAGGTGTCAGATGATGTCAGCCTTTGTATGTTATGAAAGGAAGCTTGGATTTTAAGTATGGTTACAAGTAATAGAAATGGGAGGTAGAAATGGGAGATAATCACTATTTGAAAATGTCACTCTGGTTGTTTTGTGGACTGCGGACTATAAGATAGCAAATGTGAAAGCAGGAATATGACTTAAGTGACTATACTGAGAGGTGACATGGCTAAAACTCAGAGTAGCTGTGCACATGGAGAGAAGGGGATGAAAACAGAGTGGAGGGGACTTGTCGCCGGAGTCGGAGTGGAGGTAGAGGGGACACAAGAATATGACCATCAGGTAGGTAGTTTTCAAAGCTATGGGACTTGAGTTAACCCAAAGAGAAAGTGTAGCTCAGAAAGGGAAGGGGAGAAGAGAGAAAGCAGGGAGACCCTAACTGCCCCAAAGTATTCTAGAAGAGGTGGAGCCAGCAAGGCCATACTATAAATGGACACACCTATCTTCTGAAATTCTCTCGTTTATTCATCAATCAGTATTTATGTAGGACTTATGGAGTTTCAGATATTGAGGATATGGCAGTGAACGAAATGCACATTTCCTCATCATGGTACCCTCTGTGTCCATTTTCAGGCATAAGGGATCCCATAATCTCTTCCTCCATACACTCTCAAGGCTTACTGTTAAGACAAAGAGCTGATCCAATCATGCACAGTAAACGTATAAAGAACTAACAAATACCCATGCTTTTTAATAAGGGCCCATCTTCCCGTTTGGCTCAAATCAAAGAAATAAAGATGTAATGATTAGAAGGCCTTTGGAGTGATAGCAGAAGAAAGACTGAAGTTAGATATACTTGGATTTGAATGTTGCTTCTACCCTTTCCTAGGTAGGTGAATGATCATACCATGTGAATGGTTAGCCACTTCCACTGCATCTGTAAAATGTGCTTAGAATACCCGCTTTGTAGAGATGCTGGAAAGCGTAAGGAAGATATTGCATGTAAGGCACTTACTGCAGTGAGCCACACATTCTACACAGTTGCTCAGATGCTCAGAGAGCAGCAGATGTCATTACTAAACTACTAGACAATTACAGAGAAGATTAATTGACTGACGTACACACCATTTTGTCTTACACAGAAGATACAAATCTTAGAAGACGCAAATAAAACAAAAAAGCCTCCTAGTTTGAGGTGAAAATTTAGGTGAGAATGCGCATGAACAACTTTTTGGAAAAATTCCTGTGCCTGAGGTAGGGCAGACATAACGTAATGAGGATGGAGGAGGTTAAGATGCAAATTTTTTGTACATAAGCTTCCAAGATATTTTTGTAGTGGAAGGATTACTTTAGAATTATCCTTTAAAGTAACTCTGGCTCACATTTACCAACCACTGAGGAGCTGCTTTATAAGAATGGGCTCTAGAGCTGCCCGTACTGGCGCATGGCAGGGCGAACAGACTCAAGTCAGTACAAGAATGATGAAAGGTAAAGCAATGGCAGCAGCTCATGCTGGTCTTATAGAACACTTTAAAATAACCCCTAAACAAGCAGACATTAAATTATTAGAATAATTAGCCTCAAGAGTATTAAGGTTAATATGTAAAGGGAAAACATAATGCAAAGAGAAATAAAAACATATGTCCATGGATCATATGACCTCACTGAAAAGAGGAATTCTTAATCTCAGGAAACAAACT